GCGAGAGGCACAAAAATCAAGTTTAAAAAAAAGGGGGGGTGAACCAATCTTGAAATATTTTAAGTAAGTTTTTGAGTTCGTGTTCGGTTTCCCTCATAATTGTGTTCGGCAGCACGGGGTGTGCAAGCCATGGGTTGATACACCTGGCGGAGTGGTCCACAAACCCAGGGGTGGCTTCTTGGCTCACGGGGCCTGGTCTTAATTCTTCTAGTTTAAACTCCTGGGTAGCGTGCAAAGAATCCCGATTTAGTATTTGGCCTGTTACGGGCTATGTCCATCAAGGCTACCTGAACAGGGGTAATGGACTGTTCATCAGCAGAGCTCAGGGCTTCCAGGAACCATCACAGGACAAATAATATATACATACATACATACACACACACATACATACATACATACAGACACTTACATACATACATATACATACATACTCCCCACTAGCCTCCTCATCAATTGTCTTACTAGCAGGACAGGAGAGATCAGATAAGACTCTGTAACTAGTCAGCACCACCCAGAGGCCTCTGTCAGTGTCTCTGTGGATCTTCCTGGTTCACAAGGCAGACATAACAAGTGGTTCAGGCATCTCACACGCCACTGGGATTAAGACAGAAAGGGAGAAGCCCTGGGCTTTCCATACCTATCCCACTCAATCTTGGCGTGTTGGCCATTGTATCCACTTCTACTGAGTATCGCTTCGGATATAAAACTTGGGGGTAGAAGTCAGTGGCCGTGGTGACAAAAACAACAGTGTTGTGGCCTAATACGAAACAAATCAGTAGCCAGAATCCAGCACGCCCGTTTGACCACGGCATCAGGAAAAGACCACCCAAGATTTTGTGCACCACTCAGCTCCTCAGGAAAAAAAATAGAGCAAGGAAGGAGCTGTTACTGGAGGCTCTTAGCAGCTCAGGGGCTGGCAGACGAGAAGACGGCAGGCGACATGATTGCAGAACACAGGCGCCTTCTCCTCAGATGATAAACACCTTTGTTGATTAATTGTCGTGTGCTATTAATAGGAAGCTGAGTAATTGGGAGTGATTGGCAGACGATAGCTGGCCCATCTGCCTACCGCCTCCCAATGGCTGTTCGCGAGGCAAAGAGTGCGTGAGGTGACGGGGCAGGCCTTGGAGACACAGAGCTCACCACCACCCCTGCCCCCGGCTCGTGGGCCGAGCCTGTGGATGACAGGTACACATGAGGCCCGGTTGGTTGGCTCAGGAGAGAAGTACTAAGCAAGCTCTTTAAAAAGGCGGTCTTGGCCATGCCCACGAGAAGCCTGGTGACCTACAGGATACGGCGTGTCTGGCCATGGACTGGACTGTGAGGCTCAGGGATGGAAGCTGAGATCCGAGGGTTCTGTTCATCCCGCTAGAGCAGGGAGAGCTGGGCCGCCCTGCCAGGAGGGATGTCCTTGCCCACATGCAGGTGAATGCTCTCCCAGAGCCCATACTGTCTGGGGAACAAATCCAGTGGTGGTGGGAAAGCCCAGTGAGGGAGGCAAGGAAGCCAAGAGGAAAACAGCCTCTATTTCAAAACTCTAGGAGGTCACTGGGGACAGATGAAAAGAGCATCTGTGATGGCTACTGGCCAACTTGACGGGATCTAGAATCACTGAGGAGACAGACCTCCAGGCATGCGTGAGGGGGGTCCCTTGAGTGGGCTAAGGTAGGAAGACCCACCTTGAATGTGGACCACCGCACTGTTTTCTGTCCTAGGGCCTTGGACGGAATAAAAAGGGAGCCCGTGAGCCTAGCACTTGGTCCCGCCTCCCTCTGCTTCCTGACTGTAGAGGCAGTGTGACCAGCTGCCTCGCAATCTCTCCTCTTTCTTCCTCACAGGGCTGTTGTCAGAGCAGCAAGGGCTAACGCAACATCTGGGGTAAAAATCATGCGCTCCCCCGCTCCATTTAAACCCAAGAACAGGAGGAGGAACTGAAGGCTCCTAATCTGTGTGTTTTGAAATCACCCACCTGTGGCCTAATGAGGTCAAGCTTGAGTCTCTGCCCCACACGGATTGTGTGGGAAATGGCGCCTTCATAACCTCTCTGGGCACCAGGTCTGGGAGGCTATGAGTTCCTAGTGTCCCGTCCGGGGGAGCCGGGGGTTCAAAGCTGCTTCCAGCAGAAGATGCTGGTGTACCACAACTGGAAAAGAGTCCCTTCCTTCCAACCTCCCCGTGAAAAGTGACCCATTCTTGCAGAGCTCTCTTGCTTAGCAAATGGACTGTGGATGAATTGACTAATCTCTCTACCTTTGGAAGTGGTGGAATTAGACGCAAAATGACTGAATTAAGGTAAAAGGGGTTAGTGGCCCTTGCCCCCGTCCCCCTAAGTAACTTTCATTCAGATTAATTCAAGAGCTTGGCTGGGGAGGAAGACTCTAGAACAAGGCTGAGTTAGAACTTTTTTTAGTCAAGTGAGGTGGATGTCCACGCATGCATGGGCTGTGCTTCAGAACAGAGAACCCAGACCTTGGCCAATGGTTGTCCTGCATCTAGAGAGACGGTTTCTATGGGACTGAGATGTGGTAGCAAGACTGAAGGCACCCACGCCCATGCCTTTTCCATCACCCAAGGCCAGCCTGGCACTTCACTGGCCCCATCCTTCAGCACGGGTGTGGGGAGGTCATAGCTGCTAGGATGGAGGGTCCCGAGCCTGGGCAGCTTAATGGAAGCCTAGGTCTGGCTCACAGGCATGGTGCTGCGGGGTGGTGCCATGTCCTCGTCCATCTAGAATCTCACGCAAGTCACACAGGAGCACAGCTGGATTTGCGCGAGGTAAATGGGTCCCCAAGAGGGAGACGGACTGCTGCCAGGCAGAGGGCAGACGGCTCCCTAGGAATGCGGCAGTCCACTTGATCCGGTCAAGCCTCCCAAGTGGACCCCGATGGCTGAGGGGATAGCATAGGCTGGCAGCTGAGACAGGAAGAGAGGGGACCCTTAGTGGAATGGAGAGGGGTCTAGCCCTACAAAGGAGCAAGGGGCTCAGCCCCTGGTCAGAGGTAGGGGTGGGGAACAGGCAGTCGTTCTAAGAGGTCTCCGTAGGCAGTGCCTTGGGGGAAGCTGCTGCGGGGCTTCCAGAGAAACAGCACCAATAGTTTGGGGGTCACAGTGCCAAGTTATTCCTCCACTGCCGCGTGGCAGGTGGATTACAGGTGCTCCCTGCCTTGTGCAGCGGGAGCCTAGTGGTGCGGATGCAGACAGGCTAGCCATTCTGGGGTCTTGTTCTTTGCGGCATGCAAGCATGTTGGGAGCCCATGCTTGCAATGTTGTCTTCTGCTGCATCACTCTCTCTTGCTCCTCAGCCTGGGACCCTCCAAGCTTTCTTTAGCTATTTTTCTTTTTCTGTTCTTTTTTTTTTCAGTACTGGGGGTTGAACCAAGTATGCTGGCCCACAACCCGACTGCAGAGCTATCTCCCCGGTATGAATCCTGATGCCACAGACTCACTGACTCAGCATTCAGAAGTGGCTTCTGAATGCCGTGCCCTGTGTGACCTTGAAATTGAAAGGGCCACTTGACAGCCCAACCCCTCAGCCTGGTGAAATACTGGCTGTGTGTTAGCGGTGGCGAGGTTTGGGGGGGCTGGCTGTTTGAACATCCACTCACAGTTCTTCCTGGTATCGGGACACAAAGCTTTCTCCTTCCGATTTCTGATAGTCTTCCTCCAATTTTGAAGAAAAAAACACAGAATAAAGAAAACCCTGTCAACACATTTCTCTCTTCGGGCTTTCCCAAAGAGAAGGGGGAAATGTAGCAGGATGCTGACTCCCACGGCTCTTCCTGTGGTAACTAAATATAAATATCTGTGACAAATCGCAGAGAAGGAATCATTAATGACAGCTGTCGGTGTTATTTCAAACGAATTAGACCTGTGCCACCCCCTCTAGTAGCAAACGTGGAGACAGACATTTGAGGTGATTTTAATTCATCACCTACCTGGATGCGCACGCTCGCTGAGTCAGGACCACAGGTGCTCACTGGGCAAAATAAGCCCTGCTGGAGTGTGTGGAGATAGAGGCTTCTTCCTCTGCCTGGCGACAGCTGACGGGGTTGTTTTTAAATCTGGACATGGCCTCCACCTGCTCAGTGTCAGCTGGTTTCAACTGTCAGGCGAGTGGATCCAGAGCGAGGTACCAGGACTAGACGCATTAGCGCCCTGGGTGCCGCCACCGTGTGGTGGCCAGGGTCTGGTGGTCGGAGGGAAATGGATGCTGTCCCCACCATCTGACACTGTCACGCGATGTCATCTGCAGAGTTTACCCCTGAGAACTGCTACCCCTGAGGGCTGCAGAATCGGACCACAAAAATAATCACAGAAATATAAGTTTGCTGTTTTGTGTCCCACTCACAGCTGCCGGGGAGGCATGCGAGTTGGGCACACATGTGGGTGTGCACAGCTTTTCATATGTACAGGAAAGACTGGAAATACATGAAGTTCCCACAGGGAGTACCCTCTACTGGGCATGGTGACCCCGGGACGTTGGAAGAGAGTAGAGGTTTCCTGGCTAGGTTACTCTTGCCAATATGTGTTTTTAGTTGCACCCAACATCCGTGTATTCAGTTGTCTTATGGCTGATTCCTCTGAACTGAGACACCCTCCCCTAGTGGGAGGAGAAAGCGAGAGGCCCCTGGGTACAGAAAGCTAAGGAAACTTGCCAGGCTCAGGAAACTCAAGAAACCTGTAAGCATCACAAAGCCCTTTCCAAAGTTATGAAAACTGATAATTCTAGGGTGGGGGGCAATGTTGCTGGAGGTTCTTGTCCAGCCTGGTCCCACCGTGCTTCAGCACCAAATAAACACACGGATGCTAAATTAGTTATAAAATTGTTGGCCAATATCTTGGGCTTCTTGTTGGCTAGCTCTGTCTTAATTATTAACCAATTTCTATTAATCTAAATACTTTCACGTGGTCTTGGCTTATGGGAAAAGGGTCTGGACCTGTTTACTCCTTCCTCCACTACATGGAGACTCCCCTAGGTCTCCCTCTACCTATCTTTCCCAGAATTATCCTCGTCTCCTAGTCCCGCCTATCTTCCGGCCTCTACTGCCTATTGGCCAAACAGCGTTTTATCTATCAACCAATAAGGGAGACACATACACAGAAGGACATCCCCCATCTGGGCAACGTTGGCAGAACTGCCTGCAAGGCGTGCATGGAGCCCAGGAAGGCAGATTTCCTGAGTCATCACCCGCGCTGGGGTGAGCTGTTTGGTGATGCGGTTGCCTTCGAGTCACCCACACTCCCCTGAGTAGCCCCACTAAGTTCACTGGTTCATTAGATTCGGGTTCAGCCGTTAGTTTATTTGATCTGTCGCGTATGCCGTATCTGGGATGAATGGACACCTGTTCAGGTCTCTCTAAGAAAAGCTACTCATCGGCAGTGGTTAGACCACCTTGGGCTGTGACAGAGGCTATTGCTTTGCCTCTGGGAATCACCACACCACTCACTCGTCACAGCCTCCCTCCAGCGTCTCTGGCACTTGGTATTTTCAGCTTTTTGAGCTTCGGACGTTTGCTTACAAGAGAGGAACGCTTTTTTGTTGTTGTTGTTCGTTTCAATTTTTATTTCTCCAGCAACTGGCAAGGGTAGGCCACTCGATGTTTTAGAGTGACTCCTTGTATTTCTGTGTGGGACGTTTAGCTTCCTTTCCTGCCGCTGTGATAAAACACCCTGGCACGGGGGCTCGGGTGAGAGTGTGTTTGTAGCTCGCAGCTGTAGGCTGCAGTCCGTCATGGGAGGGGAAGCCACGGCAGCTGTGGCTTGAAGCAGCTGTCACATCGCATCCCCGATCAAGAGCAAATAGCGGTGAGGTAATTCACACCATCTTGCTTTCTCCACCATCATGTGGTCCAGGGTCCCTGCCTAGGGAATGGTGTCACCTACAGTGGACAAGTCTTCGCACCTCGGGTGACTAGGTCAAGACAGCCCCCCACAGACGTGCACAGGGGCCGGCCAACCTGATCCAGACACTCCCTCACGGAGACCCCCTCCTCGGGGGAATTCTAGATTGCCTCCTGCTGGCGATTGAAAGTAACCATTCCAGCTGGGTAAGTGTCTCCTTGCCGATTTGCGCGTGTTCTTTACAGATTCCAGATTATCTCATGTTGCGTTTGCCTTCTGGCGGTCTGCCTGCCGTCCGGCCTTTTCCCTGTTCTCCAACTGAACAGTGCCCAGTGACCTGGCACCCTGCGTGTGTGTGTCACTGAGTGCAGCAATCAATGTCTGTTTCCCATTCTCACCCGGCATAAAAGGCCGGGGCCCCGGAAACCTCCGTAAACACAGAGCTCTTCCTGTGTAAACCTTCACCTTGCCTGTGTGGCGTGTAGGACGCCCAGAAGCCTCTGCAGGGCTTCAGCATTACTCTCTTTCCTCTTCCACTCGGAAGCCAATGGAAGGAGGTTTTCCTGGCGCCCGTGGCCTCTGATTCTCAGCACGGTTTCGTTGGATCACTCCCGCTAGGCGTGGCCACGCTTCACTCCAGGGTCAGCTCTGAGTCCTGGTTCCCAAAGCTTGCGAATGGCAGGTCTGTTTGCCTCCACAGGAGACCATGATAAACTGGGGGGCTGGGTGGGGGAGACGCTCACGGTTACAGGTGCCAGTGCTTGGGCCAGTGAAGGCACCAGGACCGGGACCTTGAGGTGGCGGCCCATCTCCCCAAAGCGGCCTGTCTCCCGACTGACTAACATTTCCTTTTTCCATTAAAATTAATTTCACAGTCTCTGGCGATTTGCCAGGCCATCGCCGATTGCGTAATGGCCACGACTCCGGCCTGTAAATCCATTTCACCACCGTTATCAAACTCATTACCTTGTAAACTGCCTTAATACACTGAGGCTCCTCTTGGAAGACAGTCTTCCTGTAAGGGGGAGATTGCATTCCACAGCCCCGAGAGTGGACTCCGTTCAAATTAATCACTTCTTGAAGCCTGGCTTTTAATTCAGGTAAACTCTGGTCTTCCTCTCCCCCCCACCGCTCCTCCTTCCCCTCCCCTTCTCCTCCCTCCTTTCCTTCTCTTCCTCCTGGCTCTCCGTTCTCCTTTCTCTTCTCACCTCTCTCCCTTTCGTCCTCCCTTCCCCCATCTCCCCTCCCTCAACCTCTCTTTCTCTCCCCCTCCTCCCTTTACTTCTGCTCCTCTGCCCCATGCCCCTTCCCTCCCGTCTATGCAATCTTCCTCTTCCTCCCTCCCCTCTACTCCCCCTCTACTCTTCTACCCGCCTCCTCCCCCCACCTCCCCTCTACTCTTTCATCCCTGGCTCTCCGTCTGCCCCTAACCCCATCCCGCGCAGCCTCAGAAATGAGTGAGAATAACATTCGTCCTCGCCTCTGCCCCCCCATCCCGCGCGGCCTCAGAAACGAGTGAGAATAACATTCGTCCTCGGCTTGACTGCTTTAGGGGGGGTGTATCTTGTTGTACGTAGGGAAGACGTCTCCTCTCCCTGCCAGCACCCACAGGACCCACCTCCAGAGGGAGGCTGCAAGGAGCAAACCACACCCAGGAGTGCTGAGAACTCCGCAGACCCCAACCTGGACTTCCACAGGGGACAGTTGGGCGCTCCAGCAATGCTTGTCACAAGGAGAGGTGGCACTTGTCTCCGTGGGTGGAGCCGAGGCTGCCCCTCAACACTGCAGCAGGACACCTCGGACTTCTTCTAGCCCTATGACAGAGACACGCCCTCCCCATCCCAGCATCCCTGGTCTAGGAGCTGGAATGGTCTTCCTGCAGCTGTGGTTGTGAGACCCCGATGCCTCCGTAAGATTCTCCAGGACTCTTCGGGGGCTCAGGTCACAGAGATGTAGAATTCCCAGCCTTGCCTCTTGTCAGTGGCCTGACCACTCCTGGGCATTTCCTGCCAACACCCTCCTAATCGGTGGCTCCTGTGAGAATCAAGGGGCTAATTGCTCCCTAGGGCTTACACAAGTGGAGGTCCCTGCTAAGCCTATGGTGTGACTCAAAGACACAACTCGGGAGAGGAGAAGGTGTTTCTCCCACTCTTTCCAGACCCAGGCAGGCCCTGGCATTCCTACAGCCTGCCCATCCCTTGCGTGGACTCCTGTGGCCTGGCTGCCAGGGGACACTGTGGGTGAACCAACCAGGCACCCTCACAGTAGTTCATTATCTGAGCACAGCCCTTATCCCTTGCAGGCCCTTTTTGTTCTTTGTCCCAGCGAGGACCGTTCCATGTCATACTTCTCCAACACTGGGCCATGAGAGTTCCCGGGAGACTAGAGCGATGGTCCCTGAGGAAGGGGCAGAGTCCAGGAGTGTTCCTCCAGCTGCCAGGAGACCTGTTCCCCCACCACCACCACCCACGCTTAAGAGCACCTTCCTAATTAGGCATCGCCAACCACCCTGGGAACCACATGCGTCCCTTTATGGTCCGTTTTCTCATGAAGAAAAGCAAAGCCAACGCAATTCTTGCTGGCTCTGGGGTTTCACGTCTCGCTCAGCACATCCAACTGAGTCACTGGGGGAATAGAATTTCTCCAATGTGGCCGTGTTTACTGAGTAGGGAGGAAAGCGCTCTCTGTTAGTTCCTTTTGCAAAGATCCAAAGACTGTTTCTAGACAGTAAGCAGAGAGCACACCTGCCCTGGAAGAATCTGGGCCCCTCAGATGAGCTCTGCATGTAGAGAAGGGTGAAAAGGCACACATTGGAGAAGGATTGGGCAGAGAGAGAGAGAGAGAGAGAGAGAGACAGAGACAGAGACAGAGAGAGAGAGACAGAGACAGAAAGAGACAGAGAGAGAGAGAGCAGAGGTGTCCAGCTGCTTTGGAGAGCATCTAAGCAAAGCCCACAGCCAGACACCCAAAGGCTCTTAACGTCCTCGGACACAGCAGGACTGAAGGAAATGATGGGCACAGTGTCCCCTCTTGTGGAAGTTTGGGAATCTATGACAAGCAGAGCGGAAGGCCACAAGCACCAGAGATGGAAACCACCCGATCTGTCCTGACTTCACTTGGGCCTCGCCACACACGTGAGCCAACTGGCTTTCGGCGTCAGGATAAGCACCTGGGGCTGTGTGGGATCACACAAGAGGAGCCAGCAGCCGTGCGCTGAGCAGAGGGAGGCATCACGGACAGGGCTCTGTGTCTGCACGGGCACTGTCTCCAAGCCTGGCTCCCATCCGTCGACGACACACGCTCACACATGCCACAGTCACAAGATCTGAGACGTGTCAGCCACATGGACACTTCATGGGGAAAAACTGTTTGCCTTCTTCATAGCCAACCGCATAAAGGCCTTGGTGTGGTGTGGATGAATGGGGGGGAGGGGCATGGAGTGTTCTAGAAATGAGCAGGGTGTCGGAGGAGCGTGTTTGGTTGTTTCAGATGCACAGTGTTTATCATGAACTTAGACGTAGTTTCTTCTAGAAGGTAAAACATTTCCATCCTACATTATTACTTGATTTGGTGTGAGTTTTTTTTTTTGAGGTAGGGTCTCCTCTCATCTGTCTGTCTGTCTGTCTGTCTCTCTCTGTCTCTCTGTCTCTCTGTCTCTTCCCCCCTCTCTCTCTCCATTCTGTGGTCACTGGGCAATGTAATGGAATGAGAGTATTTATAGGACACTGGCTCAGTGCCGGGCGGTGGTGGGGGAGAGGTCTCGACAGGAAATCCCTGTTAATTCCTGCCCACAGATGAATGCTCAATGTCCTAGGGGGCTTCACCCTCCACCCAGGTGGGGCATCTGGGCTTCAACCTATTCCATCCTTACAAACCTGCAGTCACCCTGAGTATAGACAGCCACTGCCTCAGGCTCCATGAGAAAGAAGGCTGCTGCACTGACCTGCCCTGTTCATGGCTAAGACAGCAAGCTCCTTGGACCCGTTTTTTTTTTTTTTTCTAACGTGTTAAGCCAAGCGGAGAAACGCTGTGCATCCTCTGCACCTCTATCCGTCCACCATTAATTGTCTCACTTCATTTTCTTCAAGAGGCAACAAAGGGCAAAAGCCATGCTGTTGCTTTTCTGTTTAGCTGGCTGTAAATATTCAGGCTGAGTTTGACTGACAGCGCGATATTATGTTCCCCAAAGCTTGCGCCGTATGTGAATATTTTAATTAGGATTGTAACAAGCTATTGAGAAAGTTTGAGCTAAATTGGTTCAGCTGTTTTTGCATTAGTGAAGCATGAAAAGGAATTTTTTTCATCTATTAGAAAATATTCCTTAAGAACGAGAGCAACTGAAAAAAAAAGTGAGCCAGTTTAGGATTGTTGCAGTCAGCAGATCGGATCTGGGTAGGGCTAGACTGGCCGGACTTGAAAAGAGGAAAAATGAAGTTCCGAGATTGGCTGGCGTTTTGCCTCTTCCTGTCAGAGCTGCCTGGCGGGGCGGGGTGGACTAAGGGAGGGTGAGCTGTAAGGGGATGAGAGCTCTCGTGGGTGCACCCCTCTAGAGACACCTCAGCCATGAAGGACATGCGCCCCATCTCACACCGACACCCCCTCTCCCACACCCTGCCGGGTCCTCGTGGCGGTAGCAGCCTGATGGGAGCGAGCCCAGGCTACCGTGGGAAAGACTGCTAGCCCAGGCCGCCACGGGAAAGACCGACGGCCAGCATCACCTTTTGGCTTTTCCCGTCGGTTGCTAGCCACCGAACTTCCCCTCCTACAGGACCCTAGCAGTGCCTCCCGCTTCATGTTTTCAGAAGGAAGAAGTAATGGCCCCGTGTGATACCTAATCTCAGGTAGAGGCAACACGGGGTTCAGATGCTCAGAAAGCTGTGCCAAGCCGTAAGCCCCCAGCAAGCCAGGAATCAGTTTGCCGTCTCGGGTCTTGAACTCAGATCCTCCAGGTCAGTGATAGTTCTTCCTATGTGACAGTTTGCCTTCTGGCTGCCACCATGTCTTGACAACAGGGTCCTCCTCTGACCACTCGGTGGTCCTCAGTGAGCTCTGGGGCTGGCGAACTGTACTCTCTGCTCACCGGGTTTTAACCGTCTTGTGTGCCCCAGTTGCTCACTGCAGTAGGAAAATCACACCGACCGTTCTCCTTTTCCTTCGTCTGAACATGGGGACCTTTTGGCAGTTTTCTGCGAGCCCGTCCGCTGAG